TTAATTTACCTTGAAAAGGAAACAAATAAAAGGGGACATGATAAAAATAGATAAAGTAACAAATGATATAAAGTAGGGAAATTAGGGATGTGAAATCCCAGTTAAAAAGTTGACAGGTTAAACATTAGGTTAACCTAACGTTTAACCAGTTAACCAACTATAGCAGGATCTGGGTCTAGCTGGAGTAATCCCCCTCCCCACCGGCCTCTTGGCCTCCCATCCCAAGCCTAATGCTGGGGCTGGTTGCCAGTTAACTGGAACTGGTAAGCATCACCCATTAACTGATTAACTTTTCACATTCCTAATATAAAGAAAGTAACTGGATCTTCTGTTCTTCCTGACCCTCAACATAAGAACAAGGGGACCTTCAATTCAGTTAAAAGATGAGATAATCACTATGAAAAAAGGAGTTTTATTTTCTTCAAGTGCTTCCTTATGTCCATTCCACCATGCCCGAGTTCTGGAAGCTTTTTACTCTTAGTACCTGTTGGGCCGGTCAAGGAAACCCTGGGAGTGGTGCCACTATAACAGAGGAAGTGGAGGGCTGCTGTCCCTGCTGGCCTTCCACCTCCTCACTTTCTTCTTACCGCCTGTGACAGTTGCTGGAACGCTTGTCTTGCTCTTTGCAAGTGCCCCCTTAGCATGCTTTACCTTGTTGTTTTTAAATAGTTTACTTTTGTAAATTATTAGTTCTTTAGTAGCAGTTAAATTAGTGTGAACTACAGCTACTGTAAGATAACACTATAGGAGGGGAGCGCAGAACGGTGCTGGGACCTCATGGCTTCAAGACCTGTATAAGGTGCCAAAAGTCTATGCCCTGTGCGGGGGACCTCCATCAGGAGTGCCTTACGTGCCTAGAAGGACATTTGACTGACTTTGTAAAATCGTGTCGGTCCTGCAAGCCTAGAACAAAGCAGGAGCACGACTTGCAGTTGAAACTGCTCCCCATGGAGTTGGCACTCCCACTCACGGTACTGGGCCCTGCACTATCTGTAAGAAACGCACCAGCATTGGTTCGTGAGACAGGAGCTATGCCGAGACACTCGGCAACATAAGGCTGATCTATGGCACTGTGGCATTGGTTCCAGTCCCCAGTCTCAAGATCGAAAAAGATGCGGAGAGGCAGGTCTCTGTCTAGAAGGGAGCAAGAGGTGTCTCTGCAGGAGGGACACCAGAATCCTCTGCCCCCACTATGTTGTTCCTGTGCCACTCAGGCATAGGTCAAGCTCCACAAGGGCCAGTAGTCTGGAGGTTCAGGACCTGTCCATGGTGAAGGTCTGGAAATCCTTGACCCCAGACTCATTTGTTGAAGCCCAAGAGCTGATTGAGCTCATGGCTTCACCGGGCCTGGCACCGATGGGTGGAGACTCCCGTCCATGCCATGCGGAACGACAACCGGGATCAAAGACTGCAGTGCTCAGGGGCTCTCAGCTACTGCTGGCCACAACAGTGGGCCTGGCACCTCTGGCAGCACCGGCCTCAATGGGGCAGCCTTCAACTTTGGCTCATGCTCGACCTCATGTGGTATTGCTTGCACCCCATCAGCACTCTGGGCTGGCACCGGCGTATACCAACATGCTACCACTGGAACAGCACTGGGGGAAGCCAGCAGCAATGGTGTGTCACAGCCAGCATCGGGTCACTTCATCACCGGCTGCACCGTCTTGGTCAGCATCAGAGTACTCATAGGAGTCAGACGTGGAATCAGTGATATTGAGGGCATCATCATCTCTCAGCCATTCCCACTCCCTGCACTGGTCACATTCGCGGCACCAGTCACACACGCAGTACCACTTGAGGCACACCAGTCCACTCACCTCCCAGACTTGGCCACTGCAGTGGTAACCAGTTGCCCTTTAGAACCCTCTGGGCATGCCACTAGCTCAGGAGCAGGGAGTGTTGAGGTCAGCCTTGGTGCCAGCCTTGGTCTTGGGGCATAGAGGCAACCCGTCCACTATCCCTCTCACCTGGGCCCTGGTATTCGAGTCCAGAGCAAGCCCCGTGGGAGCATTGGCGCCCATCCCTGTATTGCTTGCAATGGGTCCTCACCATCAGCATCCTCCTCAGGCCCAGAAAGGGGCACCACCTGAGGATTTAGGGATGCCCAGAGACTTGTTGTCATCTTCCCCTGTTGAGGTGCTGATAGACCCTTCTTCAGCCAGGCTTACCATGGACATACGCACCCACCAAGAGCTCCTAAGGAGACTTGCTCAAAACCTAGGGATGCAGGCGGAGGAGGTTGCAGAGGAATCAAATTCCCTGGTGGACATCTGATGACGGATGCCCTAGCCAGAATTGCCCTGCCCCCTAACAAGATGGTGGCCAAAATTACTAAAACCCTCTGGCAGACACCAGCATTTATCCCACCAACCCAGAACGGTGTGAAGAGTCGGTACTTTGTGCCACAGTCAGTATGCAAACATCTGTTTACCCACCTGCCCTCTGGCTCCATTGTGGTATAGGCTGCAGGCCACAAGGAGAGGCAGGGCCAGCCCGGGCCTACTTCCAAAAGCAAGGAGCCTAAAAAGCTAGACCTCTTAGGGAGGAAGGCCTCAGCCACCTAACGATTACAGCTGAGGATTGCCAACCAATAGGCAGTGCCTATTGCAGGTATACCTGTAACTCCTGGGCAGCCGTGGATAAGTTTACAGACCAGCTCTCTAAGGAGTTGCAGCAGGAGTTCAGGGTCTTCACCGAGGAAGGCAGGGTGGTGTCCCGTATAGCCCTCCACGCTGCATTGGATGCTGCCATCTCAGCAGCTCGATCAGTGGTCACAGAGATAGCAGTGTGGTGAAATTCACGGCTGCAGGTGTTGGGCATCCCACCCGAAGTTAAACAACACTGCAAGATCTGCCCTTTGAAGGATCCGGGCTCTTTTTGGACTGAAAGGCTTGAGAATGATCTTGAAGTCCTTGAGCATACGTGTTCCCATCCCGCAACGTGCCCCTTAAACTTAAGGCTGCAGAGGCCTTACCAGCTGGGACCCAGACAAGAGGGAGGCAGGCAGGCAGCATAACAGGTAACAGTGGTAGGGGCTGGCAGGAGGTCATGGTGGACCCTCGACCAGGCCCCTCTAATAAGACCCAGGGCCTAAGATTGGGATTTTGAAATTACGCCTGAGGGCAGAGCAGCAGTCCCCGGAATAGATTGTCCCTTCGTGAACAGACTATCCTGCTTCCACCATTCTTGGTGCTCCATCTCTGCGGACCGATGGGTCAGTGAAACAGTGGCAGTGGGATACTCTATCCCCTTCTTGTCCCTCCCATCTTCTCATCCCTCTTTCCCATTGCTCTTCAGGGACCCCTTTCACGAGCACTTCTTATATCAGGAGGTCTCTTCGCTCCTGTTACTGGGGGAGGTGGAAGAGGTTCCACACAAATTTCAGGGGAAGGGGTTTTATTCTTGGAAATTCCTAATCCCAAAGTCCAAAGGTGGTCTTTGCCCCGTCCTAGACCTCGGGGAGCCAAATGCCTTTATAAGGAAGTCGAAGTTCAGGATGATGACTCTGACCTCCATCATTCCCTCCCTTGATCTAGAAAGACTTATATTTCCATTATCCCCCTCCCTCAAGAGGTACCTCCGTTTCATGGTAGGCAAAGACCACTACCAGTTTACGGTCCTACTATTTGGCCTGTCCACTGCTCCCAGCGTGTTTACCAAATGTATGGCAGTGTGTCAGCTGATGGTCGGGGCAGTGGTGTGTGTGTCTGTGTGTGTGTCTGTGTGTGTGTGTGTGTGTGTCACACCCAAGTCTTTAACTGTTGAGACACCAAGGTCCCATCGCAGCGGGCAGCCCAGGAGGCTGAAGGGCGCCCCGAGAAGTTTAATGTCTGTGTCTTTACCGCTAGGACCGGGGTCACGTCGCGGAGGGCAGCCAACAGGCTGACAGACACCCCAGAGCTTATTACATCTCAGATTTCAACTGCTAGGATACCGGATCCCCTCGCAGTGGGCAGCCAGGGAGGCTGAGAGATGCCCCAACGGATCTGTCCTCTGGAAGTGACATGATCCACCGCTCAAGCTCCCCCTATACCTGTCCCTTATGACCGGCTGAAGTTCTTTTAAATTGTGCTTGGTTCTATTACAGCAACTGAAGGAGTCAGGTTAAAGCTTAAACAGTTACAGGTTTATTAAAGAAGCTTATAAATCATATGGTTACAATGGCTATTGCTCTATTTCTTAACTGCTAGCAAATACAGATCTTAAAAATGGTTACAAAGAAAATAAAGATAGAAAATAGAAATAAGGTACCAAGTGACAGCTTAATCTTTAAAGAGCTCTAAGTCTACGTGTACACTTAAGACAAAGGACCACATCAGGTACAATTTTTACCCCCTTCTGTGCCTCTCGACTCCAGTGGGTCACGCCAGGGCCGGTCCCTCAATTCCTAAGAAAGACGAATACGAGGTGGGCATCCCAGTGGACCCTCGGGAGGTCAAACGCCTAATCCGACCAGCAGATAGATGGTAGATTGACACTCGGAGTAAGTGTGCTGCTGGACCCATCTTTATACCCACAGGGGCCCGTATCCTTTTTCTTATCTAAGATGCCAAATTGTACTGGTTTGTCTTTGTGATGCCAGTTCTTACAAGCAAGTTTCAACTTAATTTACACTTGCAAGAGAGATAACTTAATTGTGAGTACTGGACATTCTTTATTGGGTGGGAGATTCCTCCCCCCAGATAGTGTGTGTTCGTATCAATTTAGGTGCCAGCCAAGGCAGTTCTCGCATCCTCGAGGTCAACAATTGGTGTTTCTCTGTTTACAGCCATTCAGGGTCACTGAGTCTGCATATCCGGGCCTTCTGTTCAAGACTTACTGCTCTGTGTGCCCTGTATGCTCCAGGCAAGCAAAGATGGATATTACAGGGGGGTTCCTGTCTGGCTACATTGTAGTGGCAGTCTGTCTGTCTGTCGGTC